CGTTTGTCCCCTCAGCCCCACGCCAGGGTGAGGCAGTTGCACGCTGGTCATTAGTGAGCAGCAGCTGCCGGCGCCGGTTCTGTGCCTGGGCATGGCTGTGCCCACCAGCACCCCCAGCCCTTCTGCTGCACAGGACTGGGCTTTCTTTGCCTCCTTTTTTTTTTTTTTTTAAGAAATATATTTCACAATAATTATTAAAGCAAAATCACCCAATTCCAGTTTTGGAATGATTCATGAACTTGGAAATTGGGGCTTGGAGTCAAAACGAGATGAGTGGAGCAGAGCAAGGCTTCTGCTTCTGCAGGCTGGGGGCCAGAAGACAAAGAAACCACATTGCAGATGCTTTATTTAAAAAAAAAATAAATTATTCTTTGTTTTTGTTTTGTTTTTTATTTTCCCTCACCCTTTTTTTTTTTTTTCTTTTTTGGTAGGGAAAGGGCTTGCTCTTTTTTTCATTTTCCAAAGTGCAAACCTCAAGTATATTTTACACTCTGCAGAGGCCTTACCAGCTTGGGATCACCTTAACAAAACAAAAGAGTTTATTTTTTTTATAACTGACCAGTAGTTCTGGGCTTTTGCATTTCAGAGCACATCAGATTGACTCTAAAACAGTGATTTTTATGGTGTCTCTAACCAAACCCCTAAAATTTGGGAAATTCTTGCCGTTGTACAGATTATTTCTCCTGCTCTCAATAGCTTCCAGATTAAATAACAAAAGGTTTTAATTAGATGGGAAAAAAAAATCAAATGTAAAAGGAGGTATAGAAAACAACAGAATAATCAGGAGATTTCAGAAAAAATGAGGAATAATTTTTAGCCAAACACAGCAATAATCCTAAACTGCTTAATTATTGCTAATCAACACAGCATTGCTACAAAATATCTAGAATTCTGCAATGCATCTATTTCTCCACTTTACAGCCCATTGTAATAGTCATAATTCCTGCAATCCCAACATTTGGTGAGCAGGAGGCCACGCACCCAGAATTTTCCTGTTTCGGTTCCCAGCACAGGGGCCTTTGTGTTTTTGGGGCTGGGACTGGGCATCGGGATTTTTCCAAAGGTTTGGAGGAGCAGGGCAGTGATCCCACGCCGATGCTGTGTGTGTTCCCAACATACTCTGAGCATCCCGAGATGCCAGGCGGGTCACGGGGATGTGCAGGGGGGGCCTGTGCCACCTCTGCCATCCTTCTGCTCCTCTCTCCCTCCCTGGAGGACAACAGGCTCATGCAGCACCAGGGGAAACCACAATTTAATTTTTTTCCTCACTGAAAAAAGCTGGAAAAAAAAGAAGAACGGGATCTTGGTGCATTTTGTGACTTTGTTTCCAGTGGATGAAGAGCCGGTGGCTCCGTGCCCACCCTGGGTGTGAACAGCAGAACCCTCGTGGCTGCCAGAACCTTTCGCCACACCACAGGGAAGGTTTCACCTTCTGCTGAGAGTGGCCTGCTTATCCCTTCCCTTTATTTTCTTTCCTTTTTCTTTTTTTAATTTTTTTTTTTAAAAATATTTTTTTAATTTTTCTTTTTTTTAATTTTCCTTTTAAATTTTTAATTTTATTTTGAATTTTTTAAATTTTCCTTTCTATTTTTTTATTTTTCTTTAATTTTATTTTTCCTAGGTTTGCTGTTGCTTTCATTTTTTGTTTCTTTCTTGTATTCTATCCATTTCCATTTTTTCCTTAATTCTGAATTTAAGCCTGCTTTGTCTTGTCTCCTGCCAGAACATTTATCGAAGGGCAGCCGCTCCCATGCCAATGGGGTTTGTCTGTTGTTGTTGGTATTTTCCTGATGCTTTGTTCCACCCAAGACGCTCCCCAGGGCCCACGGTGCCCACCGAGGGCTGTGGATCGAGGTGCCTGGGATGGATTGGGAAACACAAAGCCCCAAGGAAGACACGGGGCTCTTGTTATCCTGGCCGCGCGCGAAAGAGTTAACCCATTAGAAATTCCGAGCCCTTCTTCCGATAGTTAAACCTGATTTGCATGCATTTGCATAATGAATGTCATTTGCATTCTTGGAGGTTGGCTACTTCTGTGGGAAAAGTCAAAGCGGGATTGCGGGGAGGGCGAAGGGGGGGTCGGCGAAGAAAGAAGGGAAGATTTTTCCCCTCACCCCACGCGCATCCCTGCCCCTCGCCAGCCTCGCCCAAATGCTCTTTTTCCCCCCCTTCTTTCCCCCCATTTTTTCCCCCCTCGATGCCTTCCTGCCTCTCTTTCCGCAGGACGCACAAAGCCAACCAAGGGGCGGATGGGCCGTGTCGAGGCGAAGCGCATCCTTTCCCGCTCCCCCCCCTTTCCCCTCCTCTAATTTCTCCCTCTAATTCCATCTTGGCTCCCGTTCCCGGCGCCCTCTCGCGCGGGGGGCTGCGGCCCCTCTCCCTCCCCTCCCTGCGGGTGCATGCGTGCTGGATCGGCGGCAGAGAGGGGAAGGAAAGAAGGTGGGAGCCACCATTTTAGGCAGCTGCCGTGTAAAATGGCTGATTCCCTTCCCCTGCTCCTCGCCACGCGGTCGGCTGCATCCCGGCTGCATCCCGGCTGCATCCCGGCTGCATCCCGCGGGCAGGGATGGATCCTGCCCGTGGTGCCCCTGGTCCTGTGTCCTGAGCACCGCGGGGCTCGTCCCGGCCTCGGCCGCGGGATTTCCCTGTTCCCTGTTCCCAGCTCGGGGCGTCGCAGCCACGAAACCCCCCGGGTCACGCACGAGGCACCGACCCCAACCCCAAACCAACCTCCTCTTATCTCGTCCTCTGCAATGGGGATGGCACCAAAAGCGAGTGCGTGGTCCTTTTTTACCAGATTTTTTATAATTATTGTTTGAAATGCCCTCCTGGGGACATTGTGGGGCTTGAGGCTCGGCTGCAGGATTTTTTCCTCGATGGAATGGATGACATTTCATTCTTTGTGTACTATGATAGCATTAGTGAAACAGCTGTTTAATTTTTTTTTTTTTACCCCTCCTCCCTCTTTTGGACTAAAAAAATTCAACAGCCTAATTTTTTTCTGCTGCTGAAACCATTTCGTGGCTATTCAGGAAAGGGGGGAAAAAAATCAACATGAATTATGAGCGACTCCATCCCCTCCTTGTGCGTGATGGGCTGAGGCGTGAGAGACTTCACCTGGTCCAGATGATCTGTGAGCACAAAGTTATTGAGCTCAGGTCAATATGAGAGAGGGGAAAAATCTCCTCATAGAACCTGGTGGGGTGTGAACTGGTTAATTTTACTACAGCACTTGAAATGTTTTGGGGTATTTTATCTGAAGACCTGTTGTGAGAGGCTTGTGGGTTAGGTGAAAATCTTGGTGTTCCATGAGGCCGCGTTAGTTGTTCTTTTTAATTTCTCCCCATCCCTCTGTTGCCATGAGACCTGGAAACTTAAAAGCCTAAATATGCTGAGTGAGTTTAACCCTGGTGTGACGGGAATTTTGAAAGCAGATTAAAACCACCTCAAAATTTATCCTTAGAAGAAAAATAAATCACATTTTTTGCCGGTGGGCTGACGGCGGGGCCCCGAACACACCTGGCTGGGGGCGGCCCCGTGGAGAACTGTGGCTGGACTTGTCTCAGTCCTGGTCCCTGGTGGGGTCTGTGAGGTGGGAAGGGATTGGGGAAGGGGTGACTGTCACAGTTGTACCCCTTTAGCTCGAGCTGTGAAGGGTGTGTGGCCACGCGCTCGCTCCGCCTGCCAAACGTGCTTAGTCAGGAATGGGAAATACTTCCCTAAAACTTGCAAAAATGCACTAAGGCTCTTAGCTCTTGGGCTAAGCTGCAGCTACTTAGCCCATTTCTCACTGATTTTATTTATAAACTTCAGTCCATGCTGGGGGATTTATTTTTTTTTCTTTCTTTTTTTTTCCCCTTCTTTCCCTGGGATGGGGCACATTAGTGGGTTGGAAGTGGGGCTGGAAGGAGAGGATGGGTCTGGGCGTCCCTGCTCTGCTCCCACCAGTGCCACTCGGGCTCCCCATCGCTGGATTTCCACAGAATTGGATTGTCTCTGATTTCTGTAGCGTTATAAATGATTTATGGGGCTGATGGACGGGAGAACAGGCTCTTTCTCTGGCCTGAGCCCTTCCTCCCTTAAACAAGCCACGTCAATTCTGTACTGGGTGTCTAAATCAATGTGTAGCCTGTGAGTAGCCACAGCTGAAAGCAGAGTTTACACAGAGGAAAAATATACAAAGTGAATATTAATACATTATTAAAATATAAAACAATTCTGTAGGGATGCTCCAAAGCAGCCTGGAGCAGGGGCTGGCAGCACAAGGGTCAGGGCTGCCTGGTTTTGTTATTTTTAGGCAGGGATGTGCAGTGCTGGAGCTTTCCCACTTGGTTCCTACTGCATCAGCAAGGGGGGACCCTGCAGAGCGCAGGGTACATCCCAAGCCTCTTCCCTCGATGTGGCTCCCACCGGTGAAGGGTCTCCCTGGGCTTGGGGGCGAAGTGCTTGGGCAATCGGGATAAATCCCCCCGAGCAGGGGCCACAGGGTGCTCTGGGTTTGGGTTCAGCTTTCAGCCTTGGTGCTGCAGCCACTGCCCTGGGCAGAGAGGGAAGCCTGGAGAACACAGCTTCCCTGAAGGCAAAGAATAAATAAAGGTGGTTTTTTGCCTTAGATTTATGGGTTTTGGTCCTGCCTTGTCATTCCTGAATACTTGGGGCTGGCTTTGCCACCGTGGCCACAGTAGGATGCTGGCTGGCCCCACACTTGCCAGGGGCAGGGAATGGTGCAATGAGAGCTTTCCCCCATTTCAAATCCCCCCAGAGCAGATCCCGGCTCCTCTTGCTCCCCACAGGGCAGAAGCTCCACTGAGGCATCTCAGATTTGGAAACCAGCCCTGCTGCAAGGATGCTGAGAGTTTTCCAACTTTCTTCTCTCTTCCTTAATCCCTCTTCCTGCCAGAAAAGTGGCTGTAATCTCCCTGTCCTGGTGTAATCCAGACAGGGAACATGGGGCTGACATTTAAAGTTTTCCCATCTACTTTTCTTTCTCTTCCTGTCAGGGAGGATGTGAGTTCATCCCACGTGAAGCTCATTTTCTGGCCAACGAGTCGCAGGTCTCTGTCCCCCATGAAAGTTCACAGGGAATATCCTGGTAAGTGGATTTAAAAAAAAAATTTAATTTTTTATAGGCTTTCCGTAAGCTCTTACACCAGGCTCTGACACTGTCACTCTGCTGAGATGGGCCGAGTGTCACTATGGCAAGTGTTTGGGGACCGGTGCGAGCCCACGGCGACCACATCGTTGGGAAAAAGAGGGGCCAAAAGCTCCATGGTCACCAGCTCTGTGGTCACCAGCACCTTCCTTGCTGACCACTTGGCCCAAAGTCTCAACCATCCAGAGATTTTGTTCTGTACTTAACATCTGTTCTTGTGGGTTTGTTGGTTTGTTATTCCCAAACCCCAGGAGAGATGTCTGTCCCACATGCAGGAACAAAGGGCTCCTTTAAGGTCTTTGGGGAGTTTTTTCTGCCTTTTAAATGGAAAGGTGGTAATAAAGGTGTTTCTCTTGTGTTTCCTTGTAGCTCAGATCAGCTCGTTACCACATGAACCCAGGAGTGGGGGCTGTATGGAAAACCTCACCCTCCAAAAGCCATGAGCCCCTGCCTACAGGGATCTGACAGCAGGACCTGCCTTGTGGGACCCTCAGCAGAAGCCCCTCACCACAGCTGGTCCCACATGCACTCTCCTCCTCTTCCTCCTCCAACCAGCAGACCCCAGCCTGCAGCACGACATAGATCATGATTTGCACCAGCGTCCATCCAGGCTGACCAGGGCTGCTGAGCAGCCTCGGCGTGGGGACACAGCACCAGCTCAGGGATGGACGGGTGGAGAGGACACCGGGACATCCCCATCCCACTGCTGCACAACACCCCAGGGACCACTTGCTGGTGAGACTGGGGTGGGATGTGGGCACCTCTCTGGCAGGTCGCACTGGGGCACGGGGAAGCTGCATCCACTGAGGGATGGGGAGCTCAGGTAGAGCCCACACCGGTGGGCAGCTGGCCTGAGGAGGAGGTGATGGGCAGGGGGAGAGGTGCTGGGAAGGGACAGTGTGTTTATTATTGAGGCGCAGCTGAAGCGGGTCCTTTGCCAGTGGTCAAGTCTGAATCACAAACTCCGCATTGTTTCCGAGTGGGTTCAGCACATTTCCCTTCTCCCCCTCCCTTCCCCTTTCCTCTCCTCTCGCCCTCGCACAAAGCTGTCATTGTGCCGGGGACTTGGTGATGGCAGCGTTGTTATTTGGCGTAAAAAAAAAAAAAGGAAAAAAAAAAGAAAAGAAAGAAGTGGGGAGGGGGGGACCCAACAAGGTGAAGAGGTTTAAATCAGCTTAGCCCAAATGCCAATTAAAAACCAAAGAGGATTAGGCTTGTGATCAGCAGAATAGACAGTCATTGTACCCCGAGGAGGAGGTTTTTCCCCTCCCCAGGCCTGATGCAGTCGTGCCTCAGGTCTCCCTGCAATCGTCACCGCTCTGCCCCTGAGCTGGGATGGAGCAGGGCAGGGGCTGCCTCTGACCCCAGGGCTGGGCTGCCCACCCGCCAGATCCCTTGCCTGGGGCAGAAAAAGCCCCACAGGCTCCTGGTGCAAAGACCTTTTCTTGCATTTTTTTAAGTGTATGTGAGGACTCTTGTCTTGCCTTGGGTTCACCCAAGCAAGGAGAGTTCTCGATCTCTCTGCCAAAGGAACGGTGTTCCCTGGAACAGGCTCTTGGGCTGAGAGTGTCCCTTGGCCGGGAGCTGGTGGAGGGTCCCTGGGGTGAGGTCCTGTCTGGGGGTCTGGGCAGACACTGTCCCCACCCTCTAGACACCTGTGTGCTGGCCGAGGGCTCTCTCCAACCATGGGACTGGGCAGTGGGAACCATCAGTCAGAAGAAACCAGCACATCGCCTTTGGTCCCAGGGCTGCGGTGGCAAAGTGCCAGAAGCACTGTGTGGATTCTCCTCCAGACAGTGGAGATCCAGAGAAGACTTGGCACTTCTCTGCTCCATGGCCTGGAGATGACATCACAAGTGCTCTCTGCCTGGTTTAATCCTCTCTGCCACCCATCAGCTTCCTGATTTCATGGTTTGGAGTCTAATGTAGCCAGAACTTGTGGTCCTTGTAGCATCCTCACCTGCAGAGAAGAACCTGGGCTGGGTGAGGTATGTGTGGGTGCTTGCTTGGATGTCTCTCAGACTTATGCAGCTCACCCATCTCTAAGCATCTCTCCCAGTACACCACTAAACTGGTAAAACCCCAGGAATCAACGTGGCTGCTGTTAATGGGGTTTGGAGTCTGCTGCCATTTCAGTCCTGGCTCGCCTGACAGAGTAGTGAAGGCAAATCCCCTGCAGCCAAAATGGGTGTGAAAAGGGTGTTGCCAGAGCCAGAGTGTCCTGATGCCACACTAGCAACTTTAAACTTAGGTAGAAAGTGTAGTTGTGGGGTCTCTTTGAGGCTATTTGGGAAAGGAAAGGTGCCAAGCATAGGTGGGAGCTGGGCCAAGCAGGGAGAGGTTTAAGGAATATCAGCAACAAATTCAGATGGAGCTTGAGCACCTCCATGTCTAAGTGCAGATGGGTTCAGCCTCAGCCTCCCCTCTCTTTTAGTCTGATCCTGCCTGGCAGTTGGGGGTGCAAAGAGACCCCCTGCACATCTCTCCTGCCTTTTCTTGGGGTGAATCCTCTCTGCTAAGGGGGACCATTGCCCAGCTGAGGAGACCCTGGAGCTTGGTAGATCCCACTGTCCTGCTTTGCACAGGACCCAGGGATGGCTGCGGTGGAGTCTGGTCCAGCCCCAACCATCCTCTAGAAGACACTGAGCTGTCATCTCTAGATGCAAAATGCTCCTGGCTTTGAGCCAGGGAGAGCAAAGAGGAGCAAAAGGGCCTTTTCCCTGGAGAGCAGAAGAAGGAGAGAGCATCCTACCTCTGGACCAGGAGCCGCTTCTCTCTGATCCAGCACATGGTCAGCACTGGCTGAAGGAGCACAGTCACGGTGGGACAGACGACTCCAGTGCTGAGGCAGTGGATGCTCAGGGAGCATTTGGGAGCAGAAAGCAGGAATGCTGCGGAGCAAAGGAAATTGCGCTTTGAGGGGAGAGGGAAAGGGTGAGGGAGATGTTGAGAGCTGGGAGGTGCAATGCCTTCACCTCCCTCCTCCAGAAACCCCTCATGCCGCCACTGCCCCCGTGCCCGAGGATGCCCACGGCACCCAGCGAGCGCACGGGGCTGTGGGAGCGGGGAAGGGGGCAGGATCCGTCGCCTTTTGTTGCTGCCGTGTAATTTATGATATGAGAGAGGGCCATTGTCTGGACCCATCCTGTATTTTTCCGAGGGCTTTGCCTCTCTTCCCAGCCCCCCGCTGTGCTCCTGCTACTGTACGGTTGCTATGGGACGTGCTCCCCGCGCCGTGGCTATGCGGGGCAGTGCCGGGGAGGGCTGCCCGCCGCGCCCGGACCCATCTGGAGCCCCGAGCCCGCTGCCGCAGCCCGGGCCCTCGGCGGCCCCGCTGACGTGCCGAGGGCCTGGGAATGGGGCTTTCGGCCCATCCAAGTTCACGGCCACCGGAGGCATTCAGCTGCCGGAGGGGAGGAGGGGGGGCAGCGGGATCTGGGGCGTTTGGCTCCATTCTCCCTTCCCTTTCAGCGCCGGCAGTGTCCTCGGTGCATACAGATCCCCCGTCCCTTTCTCCTCCTGACAAGTGCGCACATAAATAAATTACCCCACCGGGCGAGTGTGGAACAATCTGTCCCCTAAATTCTATTCATCGCCAGACAGGACTCATTATTCCCCCGATTAAAGCCGCTGGAGTAGCTTGCAAGGGTTACAGTTACTCTGTCAAACTGTAAATAAGACACTAAAAATAAAGGGCGCTGGCGAGAGAAGGGGGAAAGGGAAGCCAGACTAATGCCTGCTGCTAGGGAAACCGAATGAATCCCTAATGACGCTGTGTACAAACTGCAAATAATGAAGGAAAAGTGACAAACAGACCTCGGCCAGGCTGTGGCGAGGTCCTCGCTCGACGGTGGTGGTGGTGACTGGCTCGCCCCTTCCTCTGGGGAGAACCAACAGGGAGGGGGACCCCCTTCCACACCCCTCTGAGCAGAGAGTTTAAGCCCTTGTCCTTCACTTTCAGGAAGGTTTAGGTTTTGTGAATGTGTTTGTTTTCCAGGCATAAAACCCACCTTGGCTCAAGCCCACATTCTGAGGTTGCACTGGGAAAAGGTCCATTGCCTGTGGCCTCAGGGCACAGCAGCAGCTCCCAAGCTTTTAGTTTGTGCTCCAGGAGCAGAGCACAGAGCTCTGACCCAGGACAGGGCTAGAACCAGGGAGTTGAGTCCATCCATCTACCCGGAGTCCTGGGGGATGCAGCCAGGTCTTCTTCCCACCTGCAGCCAGTCCTCGCTCTGGTGGCTGAGATGGAGACCCAGGGCTCAGTCCTGGCTCTGGTCCACTGCTGTCTGGGGCATGATAGATGTCAGGGAAGGATGTGTCCAGCCCTAGAAATCCTCTTTGGATAAAATAAAATTCCTTCCTTGCTGATCTCTTGCCAGCCAGCAAAGATAGGAACGTTCACCTCACAGAGGATTCTTCTTTTCCTCCTTTGATACTTTAGAGCTGCAGAAGTGAGGCACAAAATTCAGCTATAGGCTCATCGTGGGTATTTCTCAGTTGCAGAGGGACTCAGATGTGAGAGTTTTGTTTCATGTCCTCCCTGAACTATTCCCACCACCTGCAATGGGCAAAATACTGGAATTCTCTGTGTTGCTTGGGGAAATATATTGATTCATGTCTCCCAAGCATCAAAAAGCAGTGAAGAGAGCTCTGAACTGTGCTTCTCCAGGTGGATTTTTGCTCTCCAAAGGAGAAACCCAAGGAAAAGTCCCAGTGGGGCCATGAAGTCCTGGGCACCCGGAGCAAACATGTCACTGGGCTGGGAACTGAGCTCTCACCCCACATATCTGCATGGATGCCTCACTGCACATCCATCCTTCTGCAGAGCCCAGCAGTGCTGGGGCCCTTTGGGGGCCTGATCTGCAAAAAAGGACCAAGGAAGGGCACAGCCAAGAGCAAGAGGAGCAGCAAGGTGCCAATCCCTGCCCTGCAGATGCTGCTCTGCAGGACACCTGCCTGTTCTCTCACTGGCAGCAGAATCCAAGGAGCCTCGTGCAGGTAGAGGGTTTTTAGAGATGTGCTCTGCTTGGGGCTTTCACAAAGCTCAGACATCTTAAAAGGGATTTTTCAGGGCAGCTGAGCTAGTCTGGAGCCCAGTTGCATTTCCCAGTCAGGTCAAACCTGGGTTTAGCAGATTTCTTCCCTTTCCATCTTAGGGAAAAAAACCACTTTTCACTCCCAGTTCCTGGCTGTGAAGCCTCATGACTCCATAGCAGCATTCCTGGGACATTCCTGTTGCCAGTGGTATGTGCAGAATTTCAAACAGTGGCACATGGCTCCACATCTCCTTGTGCTGCCCCAGCTGGACTCCATTATTTGGGAGAAACTCTAGGATGGAGCAGATTTATTATTGCCACTAGTAATAGTGTTGCCTGTGAAGCTCCTGCAGCCCCAGGTGGGTGTGTGTAGGTGGTGATGAAGGAAGAGCTAAGATTTTGTCCTTCCTCTGCAAAATTTACCAGCTTTGCTGGAAAAGGAGCAATTCTAAAAAAGTCTCATAGCCAACCAGGCCTGAGCAAGACAAACACGCGCCTGGGTTGATCTGGTGCTACCCAGCCATGGAAATGGACAGCTCTTCACCAAAACTGCTCCCTGGAGGTTGCCTTTAGATGAGTGATGGGCTTAAAGAGCCTCACTGCATCCTGGGAGAAGGTTTTAATCCCATGGGCTTTGCTCCCTTGCCAGGAACAGCTTCACTTGAGAACTCAGGTCCTGGGAGCAGCATCAGTGCCAGGGATGCACTCAGGAATACTCAACTCCCCTTGAGATCTCACCAAGATTGGCAAAAAATAACTTACTTGCCTTTCCCTGCTTGAATCTCTTGGGTCACATTTTCCAAGGTTTCTCTCAACCTCTAAAAATACGATTATTGCTATTTTTTACTGGAAGCTATGATTTCCCTCCCTGTTAATCACCCAGCGTCAGAAACTCAAGCATTACTCTGGTGGTTGATGAGGCTGGGGGTTGTCAGGCCTTGAACAAAGCACATCCTGACCAGGTTTGCCCTACAGCCTCCTGGAGACATGAGGAATGAGAGTCCTCAATTTTAAGTATCTTTATCCCAGCTCTGAGAAGATCCTGTGCCTCCCTTAGTTTCCTCCAGACACCTGAACGTGTTTTTCCTCCTATCTATGGATGTCATCTAAATATGCCCATGAACCAGAAGCTGGCAGGTTGCTCTTGGTCCTTCAAAGGTTGCCCAGCAGGGTCTGAATGGTTTGTGGAGGCCATGTTTCAATCACACCATTGCCAGTCCCCTTCCTTTTCAAGGATTAGGATGAGGCAAACCTTCAGTTTGGTTTAATCCTCAGGATCTGGTTCTGAAGGAGTTTGCTGGCACATGCACAGTGCACACACGTTTGCAGGAACAGCCAGGTAACTCACAGGGCTGAATCACTCTGGGTTTTTTTTTTTTCATTATAACCTCCTTTTAAAGCATGCTTAAATGCTCCCCTGCAGGCCCGTGTGAGGGCTGTTAAGGGCTTCATTTGAATAAATAAGGGCATAGGTACAGGAGGAGCATCACCACAGCCCCTGGAAACCCAGTGCCAGCGAGGGCAGCAGAGGGCTGGCGAGTGGGGAAGGGCCTCGATGTTATATATTCCATAAAGTAGAGTAATTAAGTATTACTAGTTTTGATGACTTCAAACAGAGTGACTCCAGGAAATAAGCCCCTTCTTTATAATTAGTGGGATTTCCTCTGCATCAAACGGAGAGATTGATTCTTTAATCTGCTCACATGCTTTTGATTTGGTCTTTCAGCTGCTTGTACCAACTGCTTCTACTCCCTGCTCTTGCCGATAAAACCTTGCAAAGGAGATTTTAGGAAGGCATGACCTGAGTTGAGGTCCAGGATTTTCTTTGTGTGTGGCTGTTTTGTGTATTCCTAATTTGCCAGAGGTGATGATCGTGATGATAGCAATAATCAAAAATAACATAGACATGGGTTTTTAACATCCACGTATGTTTAGGTCAAATAATTGGACTTTGGGGTTTTGGTTATTGTTTTCTCTTCCCAACACACCTCTTAGCTCTGGCTCATGCTCTTTAACACCTGAAAAGTTAATTTTGGCTACCTGTCTGCAGTAACCCTGAGCTGTCCTGGGTGGGACTTACTGTAAAACGTTGCTCTTGTAAGAGAGCACAGCCCTAACGCCAGGGTTTGGGCGGGCTGTTGGCATTCCAAAGGCTCCAATGAAGTAAGGACTTGGTATGTGCAGACTTTTTAGAGTATTTCAGGTGTTGGTCCTGATTTAGGACTAAACCCAGGAACTTTGGAAGCTTTCTCTAAAATAAAATGGCTTGTGGCTGCCCCATCCCTGGAGGTGTTCAAGGCCAGGTTAGAAGGGGCTTGGAGAAACCTGGTCTAGTGGAAGGTGTCCCTGCCTAAGGTGGGGGGGTGGAACAAGATGAGCTTTAAGGTCCATTCCAATCCAAACCATCTCATGGTTCTATGAAAATCCCCACAAATGTTGCTGCTTTCCAAACAAAGAATTCAGGAGGGAGTAGGAACTTGCCCTGTGCAGGTGAAAGAAGCGGATGGTGAGCAACCAGCTCCTTCCTGGGCATCTCCACGGGCTCAGTGACACTGTATCAGTTGTATGGGAAATGTGCCCTGGGGTCTGTGTTAGTTCCAGGCATGGACTGAACCTATTCTGTGCTACCCCTACCTCCAAACCTGCTCAGACCTCGAATCACCGCAGCAAACAGTTCCCAGATGAATTTCTTTCTGGCACATGAGGTTCTTCTGGGATCGCTGAGGAGGGAAGAAAGGGTGAAAATTTGGGACTCTGCTGTTTTCCTTCCACCTTTTGGCCCTGTTGGAAATGTGCAGGATGGTGGTGGTGCTGGAGCTTGGCTGTGGGTAAAAATGGGAGGACGATGGCCCTGCAGGAGGGTGTTTTGGCAGCTGTAGGGTGGGGACTGATATCCCACTCGCTGTGGGGGCTCGTGTCGCTCTCAGCGCACGTCACCCCCAAAACAAGGGGGGAGGGCTGTCCCCACCACGGTCAGGTGGCCACCAGCCTGCAGGGAGGAGCTGAGGGAAAGGGATGGATCATGCTGGGTTCACCTGGAGCTGGAGCAGTGGTTGGTGCCCCTCACAAGCCTCCCCACGTCGGGAGCGGTGTCGAACACAGATCGTGTAATTAGGGACCCGGTGAATACGTAACTGTACAATTATGCAAATAGTGATCAAAATCACTGTTTTCAGCAGAAATGCCTGAAGATCAAGACAGAAGCTTCATGCAACCTTAATTTAATCTGGTCCTGCAGGAGTGGGGAGGTCTGATGGATGACCCAACCTTGTGCCTGCCCGTGTTTAGCAAGGCTGGGGTGGGAGGCAGGGGAGAGGAGCGCCCGAGCATGCTAAGCGAGGGGAAAATGGCACTGGAATGTGGTCAGCAAACCAGGAAAAAATGGCACAAAGTGCTGATGTTTACGATGATTTTATTTTTCTTTTAATTTCAGGTGAAGAACACAAGGTTGGAAGGAAAAAAAAAATAAGAAAAAAGAGAAAAAGAGTCTCCAACCCCAGGAAATCTGTGTTAATTGCTTATGAATGTCTCTGTCTAAAAAATTATCGAATTGATGTTGTCGTGCTTTTTTTTGACAGGCTGTCTGTTACATTTTTTTTAAAATATTCATGCACTGAAATCTAATTACTAGGCAAATTTAATGATAATGAAATGAAGGCACTTTAGCAGAAAGCACAGGGCCTTGTTAATGTTTTCTCAGCCTCTGTCTTGTTCATATTTTTAAAATTATGTTTTTTTACAACTGTCTTTCTTGCCTATGAAAAAAAAAAGATTGCTGAAAATAAAACTCGGATTGTCGATAATGTTTGTGGTGGCTCAGTTTGTAATGATGGGGAATTCACAAGGTGATTAAAGGTGTTTTGCAAAAATCAAATGAGCCTAACCTAATCAGACCAGGCAGATGAAATATTATTATTAGAGAGGTAACATTAAGGGCACGCCTGGAGGTTTCAACAAAGATGAAGTCTCTAGTGCGTGTGCAGGGGCAACAACACCCTTACCATCCTCTGGGCCTCTCCAGCCCCTTTCCAGGGCATAGGACTTGTCTGTGCCCTCCCTAAGACAGGTCTGGGTGCTTGGAACTTGCATGTGATGGTTGGAGCACGTGGGTAATGGTTGGAGCACGTGGGTAATGGTTGGAGTGTGCACGTGGTGGTTGGAGCATGAATATGGTGGTTGGGGGACACATGTGGTGGATGAAGGACACGTGTGATGGTTGGAGCACACACATGATGGCTGGAATAATGCCTGTGGTGGTTGGAACCCACATGTGGTGGCCTGAGCACACATGTGATGGTAGGAACACAGCTGTGATGGCTGAAGCATGAATGTGATGGCTGGAGGACATGTGATGGCTGGAGCACACACGTGATGGTCAGACCATGCACCAAGCTACTACCCCCTCATCTGACCTGCTCCAGGTCCCTCCTGCACCCTCCTGAGTGGGCATTGAGCAGTGTGTCAGCAGCTGGGTGGCAGAAAAAAGCCATGGGCCTGAGGAGATGCCACCTGGGACCCATGAGCCATCAGGGCAGGGGCCAATCTGATTGTCAGGAGGTTATGGAAAGGCTCTGCTTTCCTTCTACCTTCAGCTCAGCCTCTGCCCATGCTGCAGGCTGTGATGGGCATCCACACCATGGCCAGTCCTGCACCACAGCTCTCAGCTCTGCCCCTGCTCTTTGTGGGAGCTGAAGGCTCTGGCTGGTGCTGAGGACAATGGTAAAGGGTTAGGGTGCTGGTGACCCTGATCATCTCTGTAGGATCTGCTCTTCTGAAAGACCGTGGCAACGCTGCTTTTGCAGTGGTTGGAGTGCCCTACTGAAGGTGGTGTAGGTGGGAAGGGATGTGTAGCTGGGCTTGTTGCTGCAGAACGGGACCCCTCTTGTGGGGTGGCTGGGAGTCAAGCTGACATGAAGGGTCTCATGCTCCTCAGGTGTCCCCAGTAATGGCTCAAAGTGAGGAGCCTCTGGAGTCCTTGTTTCTGTAGGAATGAAGTACCATGGGAATTCAGGAGTTTGCAGATGTGGCTGTGAACATGGGTAGGTAGAACTGGCTTTTTCTCCCCAAAAATGCTGTCCTTTGCATCCTGAGGGATGCACTGGTGGAAGCTCTTTGGGTTTGCACAGCTGTGGCAGATCCTGAGGGAGGACCATTACAGGCCAGGGCACATTTTAGACCTCTTTTGACTTGCAGACTCCGTGCTCCCTCGATGAGGCCAAGGGTCCCTGCTAGGCCCTTCTTGTGCTGCAGACCAGCTTTCTGGTTGGGGAAAACCTCTTGGAAGTATCTCCTGGATCACGTTAATCCCCTTAAACCTTCCTGTAGCCATTCCCTGGTGGTGATCAGCCACTGAAAGGCTTCCTGACACCATCTCTGAACTGCTAAAGTTGACTGCAGAGGGGTCCCTGCTCCCCAGAGGTGACAGGATGACCACTGACCTGCTTTGTGTCTCTGGGTTCCACACCTTCTGCTGCAAAGTCTTGGTCACTTGTAGGCCTGCGTGAGGACAGGGAGAGCTTCCTGTCTGCTCCTGAATCTGCAGCCACACAGATTTGGGGTCTGCATTTCCAGGCTTGCAGCAAGGAATGCTCCCTCTGCACTGCAAAAGATCAGGCTCCCTTCTCTCCCCTCATCAGAGGACCCATCTCCACCGTCAGAGCAGTGCTTCCATCTGCCCTGATGAGATGTCATGGCAGGAGTTCAGTGAAACAGGAAGGGCTTGCAGATTCTGCTGTGGGGACCTCCAGCTCCAGGACCCCACAACTGCATTTACTAAAGGCTTTTCCATCCCTTCTCTGTGCTTCTCCAGCTGCGCCTCTTGTCTCCTAAAGTGATTCACGTGGTTTTTCCCTGATTTCAGCTCATCTCCTGATGCAGCAGAGCAGTCCCTGGATTCCCTACATAAAATTACAGACTGTTTTGGGGCTGGAAGGGACCTTAAAGCTCATCTCATTCCAACCCCCTGCCAGGGGCAGGGACACCTTCCACTAGACCAGGTTGCTCCAAGCCCCATCCAACCTGGCCTTGAACACTTCCAGGGATGGGGAAGCCACAGCTGCTCTGGGCAAGGGCCTCACCACCCTCATTGTAAAAACCTTCTTCCTTATATAAAATATAAGCTTCTGATGTGTAAGAAGCAGTTAGATGTTCATCTCTGTCCTGAAAAAAACCCTTTCTGAGTGGCCCTGGGAGCGCTCACAGTCTTGCACACTCACACACGTCCCTATTTGTGTTACAAAGCTCCTGAGCTGCATTTATCCTCCACAGTGACAGTTTTCCATTAGAGAGCTGCAGCCCAGCATGGTGATTATAATTGTCACTAATTTCTTTCTTTGGCAATCAGTTTGTACCTTGACACACTGGCATAAAATGAAACAGATTCCCCCCCATTCAGGGCAAGGTTCACTCTCAAAATTTTTGTACCCCCTGATTTCTTTAGGGGAAGCTGGTGCCGCTCTGTGGTGCCTCTGCAGAGATGCCAAGTTTGGGCTTTAGGTGAGGGAAGGACAATATTAACAACACCGTGAGCCAGGGACTGGGAATGCCTCATGTAAACCCCTTCTGAAGGGGCAGTCACCCTCCTGAGCAGGCAAATCCCAACCCCACTCTAGAGAAGGCTGGATGCAGAAATGGAAGGCTCTTCCCTGGATTTGATTTGGGCTGGAGCATCTCAGGACAGGGCAAGGCTCTGCACTGATGCACTTCCCCTGGGCATCCCGAGCAGAGCCTCACACTGGTGTCCTCAGTGAGAGGAACCACCCGCTTTGCTGGTCAGGCTTTTCCCACTAAACCCATTAAATCAGTGCAAATGGGATGGAATTACAGCAAGGCAGTGTGGGACAAGTAAGGAGAGTCTGTGGGGCTCATGAGGGTTCAGAGGGGGGAAAGATGTGCTTCTGGATTGCTCCTGCCTTTCTACTGGGGTCATGAGAGGAGAATTTGGCCCTCTTATTTATTTATTTTTTTTAACTTAAGCCTCTGAAGAGAGTGCTGCAGAGATTCCCAGGGGGTATCGACTGGCAGAAGTCCCATGACACCCTCAAAAATATCCCCCCAAACAGAAATAACTCAGTAAAACAAAGCAGTGGATTGTTCAGCCAACTAAAATTACCAGCATGTCAAATAAAATATGTACAGCATTAAAATAAAATTTGCATTGCAATAATGCTTTATTAAGCACATTAGGAGATTAAAAGAATCAACCCATTTGTTCCCATTCATGTTGCGTCAGGATTTGCATTTCTTTTTTCCCCACCTCCAGCTCGCCCCTCTCCCCTTGCTTGTTTGGCGAGTGATTTTCTCAACGAACCTTGCAAAGCTCTGCCTCGAAAGAAGGTGTGTGTGGATATGCCGAGGGGTTTTTAAATCAAAGCACTTGACTCGGTTGTGTTTGTCTGCATGAGTGTGCAGCAGAGGAGGGGTGGGATGGAGAAGAAAAGGTTTGTCTGCTTCCATTGCAGCTAAAATGGTTAATTAAGACAATAGAGGCTCTATAACAATCGGGGCCGGGGCTGTGAATGCTTGTCTAGACTCTATAGTTCAGCTGCAACTTCTCTGTCGGAATTTTAACTTGGCCCGGCTCATTTCCCCTCCCCTCTTTCCCCGCCTCTCAGCTCATGTCCATAAGTTCTCTTTTCTCTTTTGTTTGTTTTTTTTTGTCCTTAATCAATCTTTTGAGAGATCGGGGCCGGATTGACAGCTCTGCCTGTCTGAGGGCTTGTGTTTGCCACGGCTCTGCCTTCCCAGCTCCGGAACGGGAGGTGTTTGTTGTTAACGGAGCCGCTCCGCACCCGCGCGGGCCCGATCCTGGCACAGGGAGAGGGGCTGAGACCACCTCTTGGGGCTCAGTGGAGTGGGATGTGAGCATAAATGAGAGAGATTTTATTTTTAATACTAGAAGCCTTAGAAGGGCTGGGAAGGAGGTGGGGGGACACCAGCGCTCAGCGTTTTGTGGTGCTGGCATAGAGAGTTCTCCAGGGGACCTGGATTGCTTTGCTCTGGCTTTTGCAATCTGGATTGATCTGAACTGGGGCTAATCCTGCTCTGGGGATCTCTGTGGTCCTGCTCTGGGGAGCTCTGTGGGACATGTGGGTGAGGCTGGCCAATGTGAAGCCAAGGGGTACCAGATGGTTCTGCTGGGCAAGGCAACCCTGCCAGAGCAGTCACCTTGCTGCCCCTCACCTTGAGTGGGGATTGGGTCTGTAGGCATTTCAAGAAGCTGATCTGGCCCCAGTAACATCAGCTGGCCCCTGTCAGGCTCACAGCTCCTCCTCAGGCTGTTAAACCACCTCTGAAAGACCTCCAGGCTTTGAGGAGGAGCAGTATGAGGAGGGAGATGTGACAAGAGACCTCAAGTGACATCCAGATTTTCCACTTCCAACATTTTTAACCTACAGCTTCTGGAATTGCTTCAAAAATATCCCGAAAGCACTGAAGAAAGGGCATTCCAGGGCTTCAGCTTACAGCACAGGGATCTGGTAAAATACTTGGGCTCCATAAACCTTAGATCAATCCGAAATCTTGGTTCCCAGAGAGGGACAGAGGGTTGTTCCTGGAGCAGCTCCCCCAAAGCCCAGGGATGCTCCCCATAGCTGAGGTGTGGGCACTGCTGTCGGGGTCTCACAGCTTGGAGTGACCCCCAGTAATGGCACATCAGGGCTTCTCTCTTTTGTCACACATGGGGCCTCAAACCTCTCTTTCTCTTGCACAGGCTCCTGTGGGGCTGGAGAAGCCTGGCTGGTGTCTAGGTGGCTTTAAAGGCAGCCTGAAGTGGCTGCACCAGGATAATGGCATGCACAGCGGG